AATATCCCATCCATCCCTGAACTCTGGCAGTGGGAAGCCATTCCCTGTGTCCTGTCCCTCCATCCCTTGTCCCCAGTCCCTCTCCAGCTCCCCTGGAGCCCMTTTAAGCCCTGGAAGGAGCTCTGAGCTCTCCCTGGGGCCTTCTCTTTCCCAGACTGAGCACCCTCAGCTGTCCCAGGCTGGCTCCAGAGCAGAGGGGCTCCAGCCCTCGGAGCATCAGGAGATCATTTCAGAAGATCATTTCAGGAGATGGATTTTTCCATGTGAGGGAGACTCAGACTGCTTCAAGCCCACTCTGTCCTTCCCAATATCCCATTTAAATCTGTCTTTCTTCAGCTTCCCCCTGTCCTGTCACCCCATTCTCATATCCAAGGTCTTTCTCCTGCTCTTCTCCAGCCCCTGTGGRCACTGGAAGGGGTTCTGAGATAAATCCTCTCCCAGCTGGAGCAGGATGGGTTTTTCGAGGCACCACAAGTCCTGCAGCTTCTTGATGAGATCAGCAAAGCCCGTGGCAGCTCTGGTCACTTCTGCTGAGCCAGTTCTTCCCTGGCTCCCTCCCAGCTGCTGGGGCTTTCCCTGCAGGATGCAGCCCTTGGGGACAACACTGATTTATTTGGGATCTGCTAGAGTCATCCCCTGGCTTTGTGGCACCATGCTGTCAGGTGGACATGGCTCAGGGGAAAGGTGGAGCATCCCTGAATGTCCGGATTGCTGTGGCTGATCCCTCACTGAAAACATGCCAGGATCTTGGTGGGCTACAGCAGAGCAGAGGCAAATTCAGAATTGCATTTGCAATGAACAGTGAGTGCGTCTGAGCTGCCTGGAGACTTCCCAGAGGGATCTTTTTCTGCTGGGAAATGCTGAATCATAGAAAGTAGAAAGTTGTGTGGCAGCAGAGGGGCTTTCCCTGCTGAGTCAGCTGCAGGCCTGGCACAGAGCCTCAGGAGCAGCGTCCCACTGWGCAAAGCCTGTCCTTGCTGGGGACAAGGGTGGCTGTGCAGCCTCAGCCTTGGCTTTGTGCCCTGGGCTGTGGCAGATCCTGCACGGGTTCAAATCCCCCTTCCTTAGCACCTGGCTGGAGTGGAAAGGTGCTCAGGTGGATTTCGGTGTGTTTGGTGGATCTGTAAGCTCTGCAGCTGCAAAAGGCCCTTGAGGAATAGGCAGTGTGACCTGTGGCTGTGTGAGGAGCCCTGTCCCCTGCCAGCTCCTGGCAGTGTCCCTTCCTGGCTCCAGAGTGACAGCCAGCACACCTGGATAGCTGTTCATGTCCTGTGCCCCATTAATATGAGTGAAGCCCAGCTGCATCCCTGTTTGTCCTCTGGGATCTTCAGCCCCTTTTCTGCAGGGAGAAATGCTGCGTTTGCCTTGCCACGGCAGAGCCCCCGTGCCCCCGAGCTGTGCCCTGGGCTGGGTGCGCTCTGCACTGCACGCTGCTCATGGAAACACCCACCCACCGCAAGGGATCGGCAGGGCGGGGGTGTACCCGGCTGGTCGTGAGTCTGTTTGTTTAAAATCCCCCGACACGGACCCTTCCCGGCTGTTTGTGAGTCTGTTTGTTTGAAATCCCCCGACACGGACCCTTCCCGGCTGTTTGTGAGGTTGTCTGTTTGAAATCCCCCTGACATCGACCCTTCCCAGGTGTTCTTGAGGCTGTTCGCTTGAAGTTCCCGTTATTTTCCCCGCGGGGCTGTGGTGGTTCCCGGGTCTCTGGCGGGAGGAGCCGCTCCCTCCTCGGGCTGTGGATACCGGCGAGCTCCGCCTGTCCCGGGACGCGGGGCCGGGTGAACGGAGGCTCCTGGCAGCGTTCGCACGGAGCGTTTCCTCCAGGAGCAGCTGCGGGCTGGTCCCGGCCGCCCCGGAGAGCCGGGGCCTCGGGAAACACCTTGGCCATTGTCACCGAGCGGGTCCCGGCAGCCAGGGCAGGTGTTTGGGGAAGGGGCTGGGGCTGGGCCACCCTCCATCCCTTTGCGTGGCAATTCCCCTCTCGTTGCTAATCTTTTGGTCGGGTTTTGATGCATTAATGAGAACTGGAGGGTGCTGAGAGCTGGATCGAGTGTGGGCAGCGATGCTGGTGCTGCTGCCTTGGGGCATCTCCGGGGCTGAGGAAGATGCAGCTGGAGGGGGTTGGTGCCTGCCTGCCAGGGGGCTGCGTTGGGCAGCATTTGAGAGAGTTTAGAGCTGGGATAACACCGGGAGGGTTCACTGCGGGGGTTTCTGTGCTGGGGCAGGAGGAAGGGGGGGTCCTACCCTTGCCAGGTGCATCCCTTTGGGCTCTGCATGCACCTGGCACTGCTGGCACCTCGGACASTGCCCTGGCACTGGGGCAGAGGTCCCCAGCCCAGCCGGGTGTGATGGGCACGTGGAGCTGCTCAGGTGCTCTCCCGTGGTGCTGCTGAGATGGGCACCGGTGTTTGGGGTTGGATCTGGCTCCAGGCAGGGTGGGAGGTTTGTTCTTCTGCCCTGATCTGATACCTGTGGTCAATGCCTTCCCCTTGACCCCTTCCTGTTGGTCATCCCCCTGTGACCTTCCTGAGTGGGGCTGGGGGTGCCAGTGGGGCGGGGGGTGCCCACAGGGCTGGAAGTGCCCACAGGGCAGGGGGTGCCAGTGGGGCTGGAGGTGCCCATGGGGCTGGGGGTGCCAGTGGGGCAGGGGGTGCCAGTGGGGCTGGAGGTGCCCATGGGGCTGGAGGTGCCTGCAGGGCCCGGGCTGCCAGCAGGGCTGGGGTGCCCATGGGCCTTGGGGTGCCAGTGGCACTGTGTCCCCACAGCTGGGCTGTGCCTGAACTGCTGGAGCCTGCAGGAGCTGGTGAGCCGGGACGCTGGGAACTACCTCATCCTAGTGGAGAAGATCCTGGGCAAGACCAAAGAGGTGAGCTGGGGCTGGCAGGGTGGCTGTAGGCTCGGAGATATTGGCGGCTCCTTGGCGAGTTCCAAATGGGGTTTGGCAGAGCTTGGTGGGGGTTTGGTGGTGCTGGGTCAGCAGGTCCAGAACTGTGGTGGGAGTGGTGCTTTGTGTCCCACAGGGAAAAGCCCGTGTCCCTTCTTTGGGCAGCCCTGCAGCTCCCCAGGGAGGGCGTTTTATCTCCAGGAATGGGTTTTGGTCCCCAGGGGATGGTTTTGGTCCCCAGGGGATGGGGTTTTGGTCCCCAGGGGATGGGGTTTTGGTCCCCAGGGGATGGTTTTGGTCCCCAGGGGTTGGGGTTTTGGTCCCCAGGGGATGGGGTTTGGTCCCCATGGATGGGGTTTGATCCCCAGGGATGGCTTTGATCCCCAGGGGTGTGGTTTGATCCCCAGGGGTGGGGCTTTGGTCCCCAGGGATGGGTTTGGTCCCAGGGATGGGGTTTTGGTCCCAGGAATGGGGTTTTGGTCCCCAGGGGTGGGGTTTGATCCCCAGGGGTGGGGTTTTGGTTCCCAGGGATGGGTTTGATCCCCAGGGGTGGGTTTTGGTCCCCAGGGATGGGTTTTGGTCCCCAGGGATGGGTTTGGTCCCCAGGGATGGGTTTGATCCCCCAAAGCGCTGCTCAGCCCCAGGCAGGGCTGTGCAGACCCTCCAGCCTCCCTCAGCCTTCCCCTGGCCATGTCCCTGGAGCTGCTGCCCCAAAGCAAAGCAGATGGAATTTTCCTGTTGTTTTTGGTGGAAGCTCTGCTCGGGTTTTCTGCAGGGTTGGGGTGCTGGGGCCCATGGGCAGGACTTGCACTGCACAGCGGCCTGGCAGGTGACAGGGAGGTCATGGTGAGGGGACAAAAGAGCAGCAGGGACCATCAGATGGACTTGCCATGGTCCCATCACATGCCAGGGGAGCTCGAGGTGTCGCTGGTCAAGCAGGGTCACCCCAGGCTGCGGCTGGRAAGGCCCTGGAGGAATCCCCTGATGTGGCAGGAAATGGGAATGTGTTCTCTAAATCCCAGTGCTGGGATTCGTGTGAGGGGGGAAATTCCATTTTATGGGAAAGAGGCTGTGGGGCTGGGAGCAGCCAAGGTTATGAATTTATATCTTTTTTTAATGGCTGCTATTGCTCTGGGTGCTCCTGGTGGGTTTAGGGAAGGCTTTGCTGCAGTTTGTGCTGCACTCGAARGGGAGATGCTCTGCAAGAGCCTCCTCAAGCCTCTCGAGTGAGAGAGTTCTGCTGGCTATTCCCTGGAAAAGGGAAAAAGGAAAATGGCTGGAATTCCATCCCCTGGATCCCACCCCTGGATCCCATCCCCTGGATCCCATCCCCAGATCCCATCCCTGGATCTCCCCCCGGGGTGGTTTTCCCATGGAGATGAGGGAATCTCTCTGGTGTGCTGATGGGATGGTGCGGGCTGGGAGCTGCAGGGATGTTTTAGGGCGGTGCTCCCGTCCCACAGCTCATCCCTGTTCCCTCGGGCTGTCCCCACAGGTGCAGGAGAGCTGTGACTACGACCTGGTGACACCCCTGGCCCTGCTCTTCTACTCGGCCGTGCTTTATGTAAGTGCTGAGGCCACTGCAGTGAGCCCAGCCCTGGGGCACACACCAAAATCGGGGTGGCTTGGGCAGGAATATCCCAGGCTGCTTTCATCAATCCATCATCCATCATCCATCAATCCATCATCCATCAATCCATCACAAAAAGAAAGATTCTGTGTGGATCCATAGAGATCAGGATCAAGCAACCACTGCTCCATCTGAGAGACAAAGCACATGAGCCTCAGCGGTTTGAAGCTGTTTTTTTTTAAGGCTGGGCTGATCAGAAAAGGAGATGGACAATGAAGGAGAATTGTTTTCATTGCCCTTTATACTTGGGCAAAATACTCGGGTGATGTGAATGAAAAGGAGCAGAGCCTTCCCAGGAAACCCTTTTTTTATTTTTTTATTATTATTATTATTATTATTATTATTACCAGCACAATGCATCATTATCCTGAGGAAATCATTGCTGCCAGATCCTGCCTGACAGGGGCTGTATGAAATTCATCTGTCCAGCCCCGTGGGACTCCAAAACGAGTTCATGCTTAGGTTTGGGCACGTGAGCCCCATCTGGGGAGGTTGGGGAGGAGTTCCTTGGGGAGGAGCTGTGGGGATCCTTTGCAGGGATGGGGTGGTACCGGGGGAAGGTTTGGTTGCATCCTCCTCCCACTCCAGCCGAACCCCTGCAGTTTCCACACCGCACTCGGGATTTTTGCTCCTTTCTAACCTCATCCCCGTCCCCGCAGGCTCCTCACCTCCCCCCCGGCTCCGAGCTGCTGCTGCAAGCTGCCAGGGTGTACCACAGCTTCCTGACGTGGCCCGTGCCCTACTGTGACACCTTCCGGGAGCTGCTCACCTTCATCAGCAACGAGCTCAAGGCGCCTGGTGAGGGCTTCTGCCTTAATGCCAGCCCCAGACACCCCAGGCCTGCCCCGGGGTGTGCCAGTCCCCAACCCCTCTGCCCCGGGGGTGTGCCAGTCCCCAACCCCTCTGCCCCGGGGGTGTGCCAACCCCCAAACCCCCTGTCCAATGGTATCCCAGCACCCAAATCCTCCTGCCTTGCCCTGCCCTGCCCCGGGGTGTGCCAGCCCCAAACCCCCTGTCCTATGGTGTGCCAGGCAGCACCCAAATCCTCCTGCCCTGCCCTGCCCCGGGGTGTGCCAGCCCCAAACCCCCCTGCCCTGGGGTGTGTCCCCTGCTGCTCCTGCCTCCTTCCCCAGTGCCCCCTGACTCCTGTGAGCACAGTGCCCTCCCAGGGCATCCCAAAGCTCAGTTTTTCCAGGGGTCAGGACCTCTGCCCTCCCTCCTCCCTCAGGGTGGTATTCCCGGGTGGTCCAGCACAGGGTGGGTTGGACTCCTCTGCAGGAGCAGGGCTGACTGGGGGTTGTGGTGGGTGCCTCCTGTGCAGGGAGCATTCCGGGGTGTCCCAGCCCCCGGTCAGAGGGAATCAGCCCCATGGGTGAGGATTTCCTGGCTGGGTTTCAGTCTGAGGGTCTTTTCCCCAGCACAGTGCGTGTGGCCGCTCCCCCAGCCTGCCCTTTGTCCAAGGTGCTCAGTGGAGCAATGGGGGACAACAGTGGGGCCATTCACGGGCATCGGGGTGGCTGGAGCCTCAAGCCTGCTCTTCCATGGAGCTTTCCATAGGGCTCAGGGGCTCCCTGGATTGTTCTTCACAGCCCAGACCCTCCTTGTGACCCAGCTCTGGGCACATCCCCGGGCAGCCCCAGTGCTGCCCCTAATTAAGGATTCCTCGTAGATGTCCTGTTGTTCCCAGTGGAGCAGCTCTTCCAATTATTCCTCAAAGCCTTTTTCCCTAATCCCCCTGCCTTTGGGGGCTTTTGAAGAGCTGTTATCACACAGAGCACATTGCAGCCCCTATTTAATCCTGTGCAGGGCCGTGGCAGCAAGAGCAGCGCTGAGCAGGGCTGAGGAGGCCGGGGAGGGGGGTGGGGTTGGGGCTGAGGTTGGGGGTGTTCCCCACCCCCCAAATGGGGCAGCTGCTTTGGGGAACCCTGTGGGGATGAGTTGCAGGGTTTGTGTCAGGGCAGCAATTGCTCTGAGATGGGAGTTTGGAGATGGGAAGAAAGGAACAAAAAGATGGAAAAACCCAACCCTGTGCAGGAAGAGCTCTGGAGTGGCTGCTGTACCCCAGCACAAATGGCCAYGGCCACCAGGCAGGGTCTGGCTATGTCCAGCTCAGCAGGGTCATAGGGATATGGGGACACTTGTGGGGCCATTGATGGCTGTGCCATGGTCAGGGCTGTGCTCTGCACACCCCTTGCTGGCAGTGCTGGGTGGGGGCTGCAGCAYCCCGCTCTTGTGCCATCCCCAGGGCACAGGCAGGGTGAGTGGGGACTGTGATCCCAAAGCTTCGCCCCTCCCAAGCACGGGGGATTTACTCACCCTGCCAAAGGGGCCTGTGAGAGGCGTTGGCTGCCAGGTTTGGGAATCCCAGTGCTGGGTTTGGGAATTTGGGAATCCCAGTGCTGGGTTTGGGAATCCTGGTGCTGGGTTTGGGAATCCGGGTGCCAGGTTTGGGGATCCCAGTGCCAGGTTTAGGGATCCCGGTGCTGCCCCTCGGGGTGGCCCCTCCCGACCCAGCCAGGCTGTCTCCCCTCAGCTCAGCTGCCAGGACCTTCCCAGCTGTTGTGAGTTTGCTGCAGGGCCCCGTGACCCGCTGGGGACTGAGACGAAAGCTCTTTACTGAGCTGAGGGTGAAGATTAACTGGGAACGAGCTGCTGTCTGTGTTTGCAGGAATGCAAGGGCTTTGATCTGCCCCTGGGGGCTGATGCCTCTGCAGGAGGGACCACTGCAGGTGACCTGTGTGGGTCAGGGTGAGCCCCCCTGGGTGCTGAGCTGGGTGGGATGTGTCTGCCTGCAGGGATCAGGGTGCTGGATCCTGCTGATGCCATAAGGYTTGCCCTGTCCTGTGATTGGGGTGACAGGGCTTTGCTGTTGGCACCCAGTCCAGATCCAGCTGATGTCACCCAGTGCCCTGGGGACAGTCCCAGGGAGGCACAGGGTGTGGAAGCCTCTCCCCTGCTGGGACCAGCCTGGCTCCATCCCGGCAGGGGGAGGTGGCAGTGACTTGCTGGCCCTCTGTGACAGGGGGAGGGGACACAGCAAACGGGACAAGTTGGTGAATCCATGGAATTCCTGTCCCCTGGGAGCAGTGGGGCAGGAAGGACCGGGCTGAAGCACTTCTGGCCCATCCTGGGAGTGATTTCCCATCACTCTGGGTGTTCACCCTTTYCCCCCAGGCTCTCCTCACACGGTGGCTGTGCCTTGTCCCCACAAGGATTTTGGGTGCTTCTATCGCCCCCAGGCTGGGCTGTGCCATCTCAGGGGTGCCCGGAGGCACAGCCAGCCCAGGGCTGCTGAGCAGAGCCTGCAGGGGCTCAGTGCCTCACTCCTCCCCTCTCCCCAGGGATCACCTTCCAGCGGCTGGTGAGGACGGAGCAGGGGCTGCCTGTCAAGAACTACCAGAGCTCCACAGTGTGAGTGTGCCCATCTGGGCCATCCCCACGGGCTGGCACTGCTGCAGCATCTCCYAGGGCTGGGGACAAGGGCTGGAGAGCCGGGCTGAGCTCTGGGAAGGGACGAGGACAGCAGCTGTGGCATTTCCAGGGCTSTGGGAGCGGTTCTGGGGGCTCCCCTTGCCTGTGACCCTGCCTGGCTGGGGAAGGCAAAGTGTCCTTCCCTGGAGCTGCTGATCCCAGCATACGCTGGAGAACAGCTGGAGTTCGCTGTGATCCCTGATTTTGGGAGCCCCCGCCCCGAAGCAGGTCAGAATTGAGTCCATCCTAGCCCCAGGGCAGTGAGCAATGAGGCAGCCCTGCGCAGTCAGACTCTGCCCCTTGTTTAAGGGCTGAAGCTGCCCCTGCCGTCCTCGTTTGGAAATAGGGACACGAGGCTGGGTGATCTGTGCCACCCTGGGGACATCTCCACCCTGGGGACACTCCTTCCCATGTCCYGCTCTCCTGGCCTGTCCCCTCATCCACCCAGCCCTGGATCTGCACCATATCCCACCCAGCAGCAGCAGGGGAGTTACTGCATTTCCACAAACCCCCTGAAAACCGGGCATAAATCACAGAATCCTGGAATACCCTCACCCACAAGGATTGTCAGGTCCAGTTCCTGAACTCTGGGCTTGTTGAAAGCTCATGCCTGAGCTTTCTCGAGCCAGGCCCATCTTTAATTCAGAGGCAGTTTTTTCAGTGGACACCTGATGAGTGCTGTCATCCAGGAATGGAGCACAAGCCCTCTGGGCTGCAGGGTTGGGAATTCAGSGCCTGTGGATTTTCCTGTTGTGCTCCAGAGCAAAAATGCAGCTGAAGGATGTGGCTCTCGTGCTTAAAGCTTCTCCTCCAAGCTGTACCTTCAGGAGGGAGGTGTTTCGGTGTCACTCTYGTGTCCAGGAAGGCCAAATGGCTGCTGGGCCGGAGCCCTGTCTGGGGCTGGGTGCCCTGGCCTGACAGTGTCCCTGTCCCCTGTGCTCAGGACGGTGCTGCTGCTGAACCGCTCGGAGGTGCAGAGCGAGTTCCTGTCCATCGCCGAGAAGCTGAGCTCCAGCGAGCCCCCGCAGCACTCCACGCTGGTGCTGCTCCTCGAGCACCTCTTCCAGGCCACCTTCGGCACCCGCTGTGACCTGGACAGGCTGCGGCCCCTCCTCAAGGTGGGCTGGAGCAGCCCCTGCCCTGGGGTGCCACTGGGAGCAGCTCCGTGCAGTGGCTGCTGGATTCCCTACCTACCCAAAATGGGACTTGGTTAGCAAAGGAAAAGGGTTTTGGTAATGCTTCTTGTAGGAAAAATACACATCTTGCCCTTCTCAGGTTAAATGTGAGACCTGAAGTKTTTTGTGAGGTGTGTGCAGGGGGCTCACTCCCCTTTGACCCTGTCACTCCTTTCYCATCCTGAAGTGGAGAGAGGAAGGRCCCCCAGATTTGAAAAGCAGCAAGTGTTTGACYAGAGAAACACTTGGGGGAGAGGCAAAAAATAATGAGGAAAACCCCTTGGGTGTTTTCAAACCCACTTTTATTTCCATTTGAAAAGTTTGGGGGCATTTGAAGGGGGTGGGGGTAGTGGAGGGGGTAGAGTCACACCATTAATGACCCTGCCCAGAGCCCAGTGTGTGGATGTGGTGGCTCTGGGGTGGTTCCCTGAGTGTCTCCCCGGCTCTCCCGCAGTCCAAGCCCCTGCAGGAGCTGTCGGAGCTCTACGCCAGCGCTGCCGATGCGCAGGAGGCAGCAGCCGCCAGCAGCGACCCCACGCTGGCCCGGGAGCGGCTCCAGGCGGTGCTGCGGGATCTCGCCGGTGCCGCCGCCTTTCCTGCCATCACAGGTGACAGTCCCCGCACCCCGCTCCTCCCCAGGGCTTCCTGCCACCAGCAGCACAGAGGGGAGGGGTTTTGCAGAGCACAACAACTGCGATAAAAACACACCGACCCAGGCCCTGTTTAATAACCACACCATGAGCCAGAAAGGTTTTCATTAAAACAGCAACAAAATGAATTGTCCAGCTTTTGGGGGTGAGATGAAAAGTCTGATGGTGGCTGTGACATCTGGTGGCTCATAGAAGTGTGAAATGTCCCCTTGTCCCAACAGCAGGTGACTGCTTKGGCTAAGGACAGCAGCATTGGGGTTCAGCTTGTCCTGGCCTCTCCTAAATGTGCAGGGGGCGGGTGGCACCACCCAGGCCAGGAGAGCTGGCAGGGGTCACCCTGGGGTGCCCCACAAACAGTCTGCTGTCCCTCCTCTATCCACAGGCGAGGCCCAGCCCCGCAAGYTGCACCCCATCCCCATCCCCCCCACCCGCTGCTACACCTACAGCTGGGACCAGGACAACTTCGGTGAGTCTGGGGTCCTGGACCTCGCAGGGAGCCCCCCGGGGGGGCTGAGCAGCCTTTGGCCTGGCTGGGGCTGCCACATCCCTGGCAGTGTGACAGAGCTGGTGACAAACRGCTGCTGCAGGCAGAGGTGGCCCAGAGGGTGCCGGTGTCCCCTGGGTGGGACAGGATGTGGCTGTCAGCTCGGGTGCTGTGATCCCAAGCAAAGCCCACATCTGAGCAGAGGGCACAGGACACTGGTGACCTTAAAGCTCCTTGTTTCCAGACACAAATGACGCAGGGCTGGTTGTGCTGGGCAAAGCTGAGCCTTGCCTGGAGCTGGAAGGGTTCTGCTGTCCCTGACCCCATGGGGATGCTCCTCTGCCAGGAGCAAACCTTGCTCATGACCTGGAAATAATTATTGCTGGGAAAGCCTGACCCCACTGAAAGCTGGACCTTTGTGGGGTCAGAACCTGTGTGATGTGGCAGCTCCTCTCCCCTCAAAAGGGCTGGYCCAGCAGTTTTGRAGAAGTTGCAACTTCCCCTCGTGGSGAGCTGGTCTCTGCTGCTTCCCCATTCCTGGAAGARCCTTGGCTGTTCCTGGGAGGGCTCKGTGTTSCTTCCCTGCTGGCCCAGCAAGCGGGAGCAGAGCTCTRGGCCAGGCTTTGCAGTGAAATCCAGCTCAGATGGAGCCAGGCTGGGTCACTTTGGGTTTGATCAGCCAAAGATGGCTTTGCTCCTGCCCTAGGGTTAAACCTGCATCAGAGATGAAGGTGTGCTGAAAGCTGGGCAGGAAGGAAGCAAAAGCCTAATTGGTGTCTGCATTTTGACCTCAGGGACAGAAACACATTTGGCTTTGCTTTGCAAATGAGCCTTTTATGGAAATCCAGCAGCATTCAGGAGGAGGTTTCCAGCTCCTTGCTGGAAGTTGTRCAGGATGGAGCAGAGCTCTGGCCACGAGGAGTGCTGGGGGTGTCTGGGGTCACCCCGTTTGCCGTGGCTCTCCTGGAGCCCGTGGCCAACACCTTCTCCTCCGGCTGCTTTCAGACATCCTCAGCGATGTCCTCAGCAAGGAGTGCAGCGTCGCTGAGCCCTCAGCCTCGGAGAATGAGGAGGAGGACGAGGAGGAAGAGGAGGAGGATGAGGACGTGGAGACGGACGGAGGCTCCCCCGAGCGGGACTCGCTGCTGTCCCCGCTCTGCGCCATCTCCAGTGACTCGGTGTACTCGGCRCTGTCCGAGGAGGGCTCCAAGGCCTCACGGATGTCCCTCTTCGGCTCCTCCAAGGACTCCATCTCGGAGCTGAGCGGGGTCTCCAGGAAGTCCCTGAAGTCGTTCGTGTCCAGCCTGAAGGACTGCATGGACAGCGGCTACGCCGAGGACAGCGACGAGAGCTCGCTGGACACGGCGGGCAGGACGGAGCCGAGGGCGGCCAAGGAGCACCCCCGGCACCGGCAGTCGCTGACCAACAGGCTCTACAAGCTGTTCAAGAGCAAGAGCCAGCTGGTGCTGCGGCGGGAGCTGCGCGACTGCCCGGGGCCCTGCTCGCTCTCGCTGCCGCTGCGGCGCGCCGAGAGCCTGTGCGCGTCCCCGGCGCAGCCGCGCGTCCCCGCGCGCTCCCGCCGCGCGCTCTCGCTGCCGCAGCACGGCCCGGGCCAGCACGGGCCCGCGCCGCTCGCCCCCCGGCCCCTGGGGCTGCCCCGCCGCCCCTGCCTCAGCTACGACGAGGACGCCAAGGTGGGCACGCTGCGGGTGGTGGTGTTCGGCTCGGACCGCATCTCGGGCAAGGTGGCGCGGGCCTACAGCGACCTCAGGTGAGGCGGGTCGGGCTGGGCGCGGGGCCTTCCCGCCGGCACCGCCGCTCAGCCCCTGCTGTCCCCCAGGCTCAAGGAGAGCTCCTGCCCCACGCTCACACGGTACTTCAGGCTGCAGTTYTTCTACGTGCCGGTCAAGAGGAGCTGCGGGGCTCCATCCACCCCGCAGATGCATCAGCACCCCTCGCCGTCCCCGGGGGACACCCCGCCCCGGGCACAGGTCCGTGTCCCCTCCCGGCCGTGTCACCGGGGCTCTGCCTGCTCCGGGGTGCTGAGGGAGGTGRGGCAGGCTGAGGGGAGCCTCGGGGTGACCCGGGTGTCCGGTTTCAGGAGCTCTCCGTGGCCGGGATGGAGAGCAGCACCAACGACATCTCGCACTACATCGGCCTGCTGGACCCCTGGTACGAGCGCAAYGTCCTGGGGCTGATGAAGCTGCCCATGGCCGTGCTGTGCCAGGTGTGTGGGTGCCACGGGCAGGGTCGGGTGTGCCCCTTCCCCGGGGAGGTGGGAGCTGTGGGGAGAACCTGCTGAGCACAGGGCACCACCCTCTGCACGGACACAGGGTGSACATGGGGCTCCTGGGGGTCAGCAGGAGGCTTTCTGCCCCCGGTGGGGTGGGATGGGCTGGGCTGRGCTGGAGGTGCCACCTGCCCCATCACATTTCTGCCCCATTGTGCCCCTGCAGTGTGCCAAGGCGGAGGCTGAGCCCCAGCAGGAGTGCCAGGAGCAGCTGCCCATCCTGGCGGACATGATCCTGTACTACTGCCGCTTCGCCGCGCGCCCCGTGCTGCTGCAGCTCTACCAGACCCAGGTGGGCAGGGGGCTGGGCCCAGCCTGTCTCGGCCCCAGTGCCCCCGGCCAGGGCTGGCCTGTGAGGTGCTGGGGTGTGGCACAGCCACCCCGTGCTGCCAGGCAGGGCTCCGTCCCCTCTCRTCCCCTGGGTGGCTGTGGTGCCCTGGCTGATGCTCCTGGCTCAGCATGTTGTGCCAGCCAATCCCACGAGYGGTTTTCCATCCTCTGCCTTTCCCCGTGGCACAAGGCAGTGCCTGCCAGGGCTGTCAGGTGTTTCACATCCCATCTCTCCAGAGCTGTGCTTCCCAAACCGAGTCCCTCCACGAGGCAAGTTCYCCCYAYCCTGCTGGGTGCTGGTGGGGAAGGTTGAATTTGGGGCTGCAAACCCCTGCTTTGGGGCCATGGCTCAGGAGCAGTTGCTGCAGGGCTGTGCTGAGCAGAGCTCCTGCTCTTGCAGGGATTTGTGCTCCCAAAGCCATTCCCAGACCCTGCTCTTGGCTCCTTGTGGGCTTTTTCCCAGTGGGCAGTTTTGGTGCAAATGAGGGGCAGGGGTTGTTTTGGGTGGTCTGTTCAARCACTCTGGAGTCCAGCTAAAGGCARGTGTCACCCRAGGYAGCTGCTGAAAGGTGTTTTGAAAACATGGAAAGATTCTCCAAAATGGTTTTTTCCCCATTTCCTGTGGGAAGCAGTGAGAGGGGGGAAGGCAGCCTGGCAGAGCTGTGTCCCCTCACCCCCCCATGTCCCCTGTTGTCCCCTGGCAGCTCACCTTCATCGGGGGAGAGAAGAGGACCGAGGTGTTCATCCACTCGCTGGAGCTGGGGCACTCAGCAGCCACAAGGGCCATCAAGGCCTCAGGTCTGTAGCTGCTGCAGGGGCTGAAACCAGGCCTGGGAGGGGCTGGGGAGCCTGGGCTGCAGGAGGTGTCTGAGCCCGGCTGAGTGAGGATCCGGACAGCTCTGCACTGGTTTGGGAACCAAACATCCCTGTTTTACATTCCCCTCAGGAGAGGAGCCCTGGCAGTGCCTGATTGTTTGAGCTACGGGATGGATTCAGTATAAAACACCTTCAAGGCCATTTCCAGTCTCTCATCACCACCTGGCCAAATGCAGCTCTTTAGCCTTTCTTATTGCTGCCTTCTCATTGTGCTTTGTCCAAAAGTGTCCTTTATCAAATCCCTTCTTCCATTCCCTCAGTTTGCTGGGCAAAGCCAGGTTTGTGTGTGTGTTCAGAGCCTCCCTGCATGTAATTTCATGTACTTTCATGTTATGAATTTATAAAAGYGTATATTATAATTTATAATTGTGAAATTAGAATTATGGATTTATAAAATTAATAATATTAAGAAGAAAGAAGCAGCAGCAGTAGCACATGGCTGCAGTCCTCCTGGGTACCAGGACAGGATGCTCTGAGTGCAGCTCACACAGACACCTCCTGGCCAGCCCCCAGCACTGCACCTGAACACGTTCATGGCTTTAACCAACTGCTTCTGTGTCATCTCTGCTTGTCCTTCTAAACAGAGCCCACAAAATACCCCCGTGATGTGTCCCTACCCTCTCCCCCAAAATCAGGCTGGGGCAAGGAGCTCTTCCTTCCAACCTTACACCGCCAGTCCTGACCCTTTGGGTTTTCTGGCACCACTTCACAGCAGCAAAAAAATATCCAGGGGGATAAAACCAGTTAGGAAGTGTCAGGCACAGGATTTCAAGGCTAATTTAGAAATCTGCCTGAGCAAACAGGAGCAGGGAGAGTGCTCTGGCCTTTATTGCTCCGTGCTGTCCCTGGAGCTCTGACCCCTCTGCACCGGCTTATCCAGAGCCGCTTTCATTTCTGCAGCATGGTTTTGTGTTGCAATTCCTCTCTGGATTCTCTGTTTTCTGCAGCTTTTAAGCCACCTTTTCCTTTTTTTCCATTTTGCTCCACAGCTGTGCTCAGAAAGCCTTTTTTCCCCTTTCTGTAGGTACTGGGTATGCTGCTGGCTCAGCAGCCTGGGCAGGGTGGGGGTAAAAGCCCCTGTGTGACATTTGTTCCTTGTTCCCTGCAGGCCCAGGCAGCAAAAGGCTGGGAATAGATGGAGACAGGGAAGCAATCCCACTGACACTACAGATTGCATACAGCAAGGTGAGAGCTGGGCATTCACAGGCACCAGGAGCTCCAACCACTAGGCTGGGCAGGCAGATCTCCCCTGGGGGCTCAAAGTCTGCCAGAGGGGCCCAAATCAAAGCCAAACTCAGCTAATTGGCTAATTAGTGGTTAATTTGGGGTGCATTTCCACTGCTGTCCAGCCCAGTAAAGCAGGGAGTGTGCAGCCACCTGGCACTTTCCTTCCAGGCAGGAGTCAAATGCTGGGCACAGCACTGCTCCTGTTCCTGTCTGTTGGTTCCTCTGGGGTTATTTTGGGTTTGCCTGGGTGACTCTTTGTGAATCCAAGGTGCAATAACCTTTAATGCCCACTCAAACCTGGGTGTGCAGCTCCAGTAAATGCAGGTGGGAGCAGCCCCAGCCTGGGGTGGGCCAGCTGTGGTCACATGGAATTCCAGGGTTGGGACACAGGGGGCTGGAAGCTTTTGGAGGGACACCCTGGGGTGCTGTGCCAGKGCTGGACATGAGCCCAGKGGTGCTCAGGTGGGCAAGAGGCCWGSGGCACCTGGGCTGTCCCTGTGGCCACAGCCCTGGGGCAGTGCCCATCCCCTGAGCTGGCACYRCYRGGGCACCTCCAGCCCYGTGTCCAGCTCTGGGCCCCTCCTGACCAGAAGGACATGGAGRGGCTGGAGCGTGTCCARGGCAGGGAACRGAGCTGGGGAAGGGTCTGGAGCCCCAGGAGAGGCTGAGGGAGCTGGAAAGGGGCTCAGCCTGGAGCAAAGGAGGCTCCGGGGGGACCTTGTGGCTCTGCACAACTCCCTGACAGGAGGGGACAGCCGGGGGGGTCGGGCTCTGCTCCAGGGAACAGGGACAGGAGGAGAGGGAAYGGCCTCAGGCTGGGCCAGGGCAGGTTTGGATTGGATATTGGGAATGTTTCTTCCCCAGAAGGGCTGTCCAGCCCTGGCACAGCTGCCCAGGGCAGTGCTAGAGTCCCCATCCCTGGGGTACTTCAGAGATGTAAATGTGCTGCTTAAGGACTTGGCAGGGTTAGGTTTGGGGCTGGACTTGGCCTTGAAGTTCTTTTCCAAGCTGAAAGGTTCTGTGCTTCCCTGCCCTGCTCCCTGCAGACAGCTGCCAGTGGCAGGAGCCACTGGAACGATGTGGAGAAGGTCTGCACATCCGTCAACCTCAGCAAGGCCTGCAGGAGGCACGAGGAGCTCGGTGGGTGCCGGGGCTGTGCCCAGGAAGGGTGGGAGGGTGCCTGGTTGGGCAGGTGGGAGTGCTGGGGACCCATGGGGGGGTGCCCCATGTTTCCTGGGGTGGGCTCCAGTCTTGGGCTGTCCTCAGCTCCACACCAGTGACAAAGGATGTGTGGTGTCCCCCTGTCCTGAAGTTTCCAGCTGGAATCATCCATTTGGGATGGCCCAAACARCAGGGTGGTCACTGGAGAGTGCTGCTGTCCAGAACACCCCCTGTGTTCTGAGGAGGAACAGTGGGGGAGCAGTTGGATGAAGCAGGACCGAGGTGCCCATCCTGCACCCACAGCAGCCTGGCCTCACAGGCAGCTCTGAGCTGGCCCTTCCCAAGCTGTCCCTCAGCCTGGCTCCCTTGCTATGCTTAGACACAGCCTCCAGCCCCCTGCCTTGGCTCARAAGCCTTTTTCCTAATCAGGTTGCCAATTAATGGAGCTTTGAGCCTTTGAAAAGCACCAAGGCTCTTGGTCYGTRTGTRTCTTTGGTTTGGTTTTGTTTAAGASYTGCTGGTTTGGCCAKCAGACACACACAGTTCTGAGGGGRTTTATTTCCCCTTTCCTTATGTGCCTGGCAGGCATCTGTCAGCAGAATAATCAGGGAATGTGTGTTGTACCACACAGGAGACATCCCCTGCAGCCCTCATGGAGCTCTGCGCTGTCCCTCCTGTCCTTGCCCCATCCACGGAGCCATGCAGCCAACTCCAAAAACACCAGGAACTGGCTTCTCACCTCCTCAGTTTGTTGAGTTGGGGGTTTCTGCTCTAGCTCAAGGGTGTCCTCAGCTCCTTTCTGGGAGAAGCCTCTCCCTGAATCTCCTTTTTTCCAAGAGAGATCTGCTCCCCGGGCTTGGCTCTGCTCCCCGGGCTTAGCTCTGCTGCTTTCCCGTTCAGCAGTCTGACCGCAGGATGTCACTGTAATTCCAGGCATGAGCAGGCAGCTCCAGGTGGGCTCGGGACAGTCAGACATTCCTGACACGGACAGGCTCTGGGTTCTCCCTGTTGGCAGCCTCGGGTGGTTGAATGTTCTCTCCAGCTGTGTTTGGAGAGCAGCTGGGAGGGGTTCCAGGGGACATTTCTGTGTCCCCGGTGCTTTCCGTGTATTGAGCAAGAGGGAAGGGAAGCTGAAGCTGCGCTGCCTCCCCAGCAGTGGGGTCCTGCTGAAGCCCCCCGGTTCTGGGACACTTCGAGAGGTGCAGGGACTGCTCGGGTTCCCAGCAGAGCCCCAGGTCACGGCGGTTCCCTTCTGTTGCAGCCTCAAAGACAGAATGTCTCAATTTAACCATGACTGAGGTGGTCAAGAGGCAGAACTCCAAATCCAAGAAAAGCTTCAATCAGGTAACTCCAAAGCAAAGCTTTGACTTTGGGTGAGATGGGGTGGCCTGGCCCAGCCCGGGGGGAGCAGGACTGGGGAGAGCAGCTCCTGGGGGATCCTTGTCCTGCTGGCCCCAGTCCTGCCCCAGCTCCCCGTCCCAGCCCCAGGAATGCTGAGCCAACAGCTCCCTCACTGCAGCCCTTCCCCTCAGCAGATCAGCGTRTCCCAGATCAAAGTGGACAAGGCCCAGATCATCGGGGTCCAGTCCTCCTTCGCCGTGTGCCTGGACCAGGATGAGCAGAAGATCCTGCAGAGTGTCACCAGGTGGGAAGTGCAGCCGGAGCTGCTGGTATGGCACATTCTGACGTGTCCTGGGGGTGGGAATGGGGTCCTGACCCCGTGGGGATCTGTGCCCCCCGCCCCAGCTGGGTGACAGCCCCGAGCTCTGAGCTCAGCTGGGGTGGATGGCCCTGCTCAGATCCAGCAGGAGTTATCCCCATGAAGGCCACAATCTGAAGGGTGGTCCCCGGTCAACCCCAGACTCCTCTTCCAGCAAGAGCAGTCATGAGCCAGAAGTTGTGGGAGATAAAGGAGGTGTTGGAAGAGCCTTCATGTTCTAAACCTCCCTTGGCCTGTCCCCTCCCTTGGCCTGTCCCCTCCTTTGGCAGCCCCATTGCAGAGGGAACCCATGATCTCCATGGGAGGGTCGGGGCTTTGTTCACTGCACTGTTCCTCGATCAGTGGTGGCCACAGGGCACCAAACTGGCTCCCCAGGGGACAGAATTTCCATGAGCACAAGAGATCAAACTGCAGGGTTTACAAATGTACAAACATTGTAATTCCATGCTCAGATGGAGAACTCTGCAAGGTTGTGCTGCCKCCAATAGGAAAATGTTTGGGCTCTTATATCCTGAATAACCCCAAAGAGAAGTGTTTAATTATGAAACTCGGAATTGGCAGAGTTCATGAAATGCTCAAGGAGCTCCTTCCCTCTTCCCAAAACTTGGGGGATGCAGAAGTTCTCAATTTCCCGAATGAATTTGTGCAAATGAGTGATTTCTGGGTGGGTGATGCTTCCAAAGGTCTCATTCTGAGCCAGGTGAAAGTCCTGAATTCTCAGTGCTCAGACTCCAGTCCTGGTAAACATTGGGATGATTCTTGCTGGGTTTGCAGCCCCATTCCCATTCCCGCTGGGTTTGCAGCCCCATTCACACTGGGTTTGCAGCCCCATTCCCATTCCCACTCCCACTGGTTTGTAACTCCATTCCCATTTCTACTGGGTTTGCAGCCCTATTCTCTCTGGGTTTGCAGCCCCATTCCCATTCCCGTGGGGTTGCAGCCCCATTCCCATTCCCACTGTGTTTGCAGCCCCATTTCCATTCCCATTCCTGGTGGGTTTGCAGCCCCATTCCCATTCCCACTGTGTTTGCAGCCTCATTCCCATTCCCAGTCTCTCTGGGTTGCAGCCCCATTCCCATTGGGTTTGCAGCCCCATTCCCATTCCCTCTGGGTTGCAGCCCCATTCCCGTTGGGTTTGCAGCCTCATTCCCATTCCCATTCCCATTCCCACTGGGTCGCAGCCCCATTCCTGCTGCCCCTGAGGTTCTCAGCCCACGCCTCACTCAGGGGTTGTTTTCCTTTTGTTCCAGGTGTGAGATCTCCGTGTGCTACAAGCCCAGGGACAGTGACCCGCTGGCCCTGGGAGGGTCCCCTGTGCCAGCCCAGGACCCCTCTGAGTTCCATTCCCTGCTGTGTTTGCCCATCGCCACCTTCAGCGGGGCTGTGCCCTAGAGGAGCCGCGTCCCTGCAGGGCAGGCWCCRTCCCACACCAGTCCAGGCTCAGCARAAGGATGAGGACACCCAGCCCTGCCTGTCCCAGAGCCCGTGCAGCCCCAGGGTCACTGTGGTGTGGGTGTATGGCTGAGCTGTTCCTGCTCCATCCTTGGGGAATGGGATCACTGAGCTCTGGTGCTTCCTGGGGTTCCTCAGCCAGGGGGGTAAAGGGGTTCCTGGATATTCCCACTGGGATCAGCAGCTGCCAACACCTGGGTGGGGAGGGTAGGGCAAGGACAGGGACATTCCSTGCCAGAAAATGGTGTGAGTGGGTCTGGGGGAAAGGGGGAGTTCATGGGGGATATTTGGGAAAAGGAAAACCCTCGGCTGAGTGGTGCCAGATGTCCATCAGTGCCTGGGAGCTGCAGATCACCCAGCCCATGTCCCGGTGTCATTTCACCTGTGACAGGCTGAGGATGCTCAGGMCATGTTTTGGGATGGGAACAGGTTCCACAAGGCTTCCTTTCAGTCCTGGAGGTCGAGTGTCCTGCGGGGGAGCAGGGATCCCTCACCTGGGTTGGGTGTGTCCCAGGGAATGGAGGAAAAGGGGTCATCCCAGGGCAAGGACAGCTGGTCATGGGTCCGTGTGTTTCCTGCACATCAAGGGAGGAATTCCCAATTCCTGTGAGATTTCTGTACATCCAGCAGAGGAATTCCCAATGCCTGTGAGATTTCTGTACATCCAGCAGAGGAATTCCCAATTCCTGTGAGATTTCTGTACATCCAGCAGAGGAATTCCTAATTCCTGCAGGATTCCAGCATTGAGCTGTATTCCCTGCCCAGCCCCTGGTCTGGTATCCTGCTCCCAGCACGGTGTGCCAGAGCTGGACCCTCAGGAGCTGCTGGAAATCCATCAGGAGCCATGCTGAGCTCCCAGCAAGGAGGGAAGCACCAGGATCACCTTCAGCTCACCTGAGCAGTGACATTTGCTGGAGGAGGAGCCAGCAGCGAAGCCACCGAGTGACAGCTGCAAGTGACAGCAGGATTTGGGATCCTCTCCCCACAGAGACATTCCAGCCTGCTCCTTCCCTCTGCAAGGCTGTTGGTACACAAAGTGCAATACTGGAGGGTATTTAGGGGTGGCCTGACCCCATGAGCAAAGAAATAAGACTGGGAAAGCCTCAGGCTGTTTCTGGGGGTTTTTGGGGGATTGTAGCAGGCACAAAAGCTCCTTGCCTGCTGCAGGCTCCAAGGAGCTYGATCCCAAGGTTCTGTGTTCCCTGGATGTGTCTGGAAGGGCCCCCTGGCACTGCTGGGGGCTGCAGGGCTCACCCACAGTGGGGTCAGTTCAGGGAGTCCCTCGATCCTCCAGGACACAGGGCCTGGTGAGCTCCTGGCATTGTCCCCAAGGGCTGGTGGCACAGCAGCAGTGTCACTGGAGGTTACATCTGCCAGGGAAAGGGTCCGAGCCTCCGGGAGCTCCGTCTGTCTCAGAGGAATGGGGTCAGGTTTGTCTGCTGGACGGCCCCACATCCCTCCTGGAGTGTTGGGGATCCCTCCTGTGCCCTGAGTGCTCCTGGCTGCTGGGCACGTTCTGCTCCCGGTGCCCATTGCTGGGGACAGCCTCGCTTGGGCCCAGGGGTGATCACTACTGTCCCCAAGGTGCCCCTGGTGCCCTCAGCAGCTCCGGGTTAAGCCTCTCCCGGTGAGGAAATCCGAGATGTGCCGGTGCTGCTGAGCCCTGTGTGCTCCCTCCTCCCACCCACATCCACCATCCCTGGCTGGAGCCGCCCTGGGCACCCAAGGACAGCCCCTCGTGGGGTGACACGAGCAGGGGCTCTGTCCCCACCAGGGAGCAGGGCCAGCCAGGTGTCCCAGCAAGGATCCACCTTCCCTGGCTTCATGGCAGCCCCAGGAGTGCCCACCTTTCCCAGGTGCCTGCAGCAGTGTCTGTGCTTGGCAGGGACCCCTGGCACTGCCAGACCCTGCTGGGCTGCCTCTCCTTACAGGATGCTTGGGCACCTCTTTCCATCACCATTTTAAGCCCTACAGGCTCCAGGGATCAGATTTTTAGTGGCTTTTCCCATGGAGCTGGACCAGGTTTTCTCACTGACTTCTCCTTTCCCAGACAGGTTTGTATTGTGGTCCCTCCAGTAGGGCTGGAATTTGGCTGTTGGTTATTTTTGTTCAGGTCYTTAAAACAGCACCTTATCCTATCAAACTTTGCTCTTTTGGATCTTGATATCCATGGCTAGATACAGCCTGGATAAAATTAGGAGATAAATCTCTCTGGGATCATCCTGGAGAATTTCCATCCCATAAAGAAAACCAAACACCAGCTCCAAGGATTCATAATCCTGGAGAAGGTTTTGGCCTCTGATGCTTTCTGGAAATGAAAGAATTCTGGGGTTCTTTGGGGTGGTTTTTGTACATTTGTGTAGCCTCAGCAAATYGGTGTAAAGTCTGTGCTGATCTGTAAAATACTGTGCAGAGAACTTTTAAAGTAATTGTAAAATATTAAAAGTTGATTTATTTCCAGTACCAGTGCGATGTTTGGGGCAAGGAATTCCTGGGTGGGGGGGGAGGCACAGGAGGAGGCTCCACATCTCCACCTGGGAGCAGGAAAAGGCTCAGAAAGTCATTTTTGTCACCAGCTCTGTCCCAGAGGTCACAGCATGGAGCCCTCTGGGGGTTGATGGAGCTGCTGCTGCTGCTCTGGGAACAAAATGCAGGTTTGGGTGTTGGAAATCCCAAATGGGTTTTGTGCTGGATTAAGGAGAAGAGGAAYGAGCAGAGATGGTGTGTGCAAGGTGAGATCTGTGCCTTCCCTTCCTTTCTGGGGGTTCCAGGGACCAGGGGACAGCAGAGCCCTGGGGTGAAGGGTTCCTGCTCAGGGTCTGCAGCTGGGGGAGTCCTGAGTGGAAAATCCCTTCTGTGCCTTTGGGGATGTGGATTGGCAGCTGGGGCTGAAAGTGCCCTGGAATATGAGATCACACTTGGGGACATTCCACTGTCCCAAGTGTCACCTTCTCCTCCTGGGGGGATCCAAGGAGACAGGCTCCCATGGGAGGAGTGAGGGCGAGCAGGTCATGATCAAATAATGTGGGAAAAATAATTTCAGCTCCAACGACTCCAAACGCAGGTGAGAATGTCTGTTACCAGCCCTTCAGTATGTATTAGCTCTGTTTTTATACTACTGTAATTAAAGGTTTACAAAATGTGGGTTTTAACTAAACAAAAAATGTCTTTTGAAAAGGCAAATAAGGAAAATACCGTATTTTCCAAGCTGGAATGATAATCTGCTCCTGTTTGTTCTCAACAACAACAAAAGYCCTAAACCCCAAATTCCCCTCTGTCTGTTATTCCCTTTTCTAAAGATAAATGGAAAGAGGAAGGTGGTATTTAAAATCYAAGGCAGGACTTTGTTCTGGAAATSTGCCTGGTGAGAAGCTCAGGATCAGGGCTCAGGTGTGAGCCCCCAGCTCCTGATGGGTCAGGGGTTTGTTCTTACCCACACAAAAGCTTGGGCTGACAGCTGCACAGAAAATCAGCCAGACTGGGTCAAGGCCAGGCTTTACCAAAACCGGGTGTGCCTCTTGTAGCTGCGCTCAGAGCTGTTTGAGCTCTCACAGCATCAGAGCTGAGCTGCTCCATGGCCTGTGTGTCCAGGAGGGGTGGGAGGGCTGTGGGTCAGCAGTGTCCGGCATCCCAGGCTGGGAACTCCTGCTGGCTTCCCTGGCTGAGATTTCTGCTAAACAAAGGAGGATTTGGGGCTGGGTGGCTGTGGGGTTTCAGGGGTTGCCATCCCCYCTCAGCCAGAGCTCCTGGACTGGCAGAGCTGCAGTGGGGTGTGCCCCAGTGCCAGGGAGAGGGGAACTGGCTGGGGGTCCCAGCAGGGACAAAGAACACCCTGGGCCACAAGCACCTTCCCTGTGGGTTCTGCAATTGGCTGTGCTGATTCACAGCGGGGCAGGTTCAACCCCCTGAGGAGGAGATGTTCATGGGACAGGTTCTGAGGAGGAAGTTCAGCCCCTTGAGG